AGTATTCTCCTGAGTTCTTGCCTTACTCTTTTTTTTTGTTTGTTTGTTTCTATTTATTTCCTCTCTTTGGTAATCCCATTCATATCCAGGTTTCCATTAAAATCCATGCCCTGATTTCTCTATGTGGGTATTCATGTCAGTCTGTGGAGCTGCAGGCCTGGGTATCCAGCTACCCTGGAGATACACATAATGATAATCACAACAATAACACCTACTCCTCACTGACTGTTCTCTGTGACAGACAGCTCAGCAGAGCTGTATTGCTTCATCCCAACTATTCCTGTCCGCAACATCAAGAGGGAAATCCTGTTACTATTTTCTGTCTACAAGTGAGGAAACTAAGGTTAGATGCATTTAGTAACTTTTCTAACATCATTCGGTTAGCAGAAGAGCCTCGTTTGTAATCTCAAGTCTAGAGCCCAAGGTTTTCATTAATACTTGGGATTAGCATGTCAGAATGGAATCCTTTACTTTCCCCTCTCTTCCCCACACTCTCCTTTCCCCGTTATTCTCTGTCCTGTTTGAAAGGACCATATTTCATCCCTAAAGTAGATGTATGGGGATTTCACTTGATCCGCAAAGATTGTGGATCACAGTAGTACTTTGCTTTTTTGTGTCTAAAGTATTGACATCTTGTTTGCATTAATAAGGTTAGGTTAGGTTTCAAATTCCTGGCTTCAGGCTGATAATGTATTGTTTGCTCTCTATGTTGTTTTAAAGACCAGAAGAAAAAAAGACCCCACAGAAGTCTAGATTTGTGACTTGCTGTCACATGGCAGTGGTCCCCCAGAGCTGCGGGCGCTTCGTCTCCCCTGGGGCTGCCGCTGCTTCAGCACGGCGCTCGCCACTCCTCTTACCCTGTACTTCTCAGGGGTTTCCTCAGGTCTGTGCATGTGCGGCCCTGTGGGCACTTAGGGCCCCTGGTAAAGACTCCTGTGCTTCTTTCTGCAAGTGGTCGTCTTCCCTCTCTGGTTTTTGCCCTAGTGCTTGAAGTGAAGTGAAAGTTGCTCAGTCGTGTCCGACTCTTTGTGACCCCATGGACTATACATACAGTCCATGGAATTCTCCAGGCCAGAATACTGGAGTAGGTAACCGTCCCCTTCTCTAGGGGATCTTCCCAATCCAGGGGTTGAACCCAGGTCTCCTGCATTGCGGGTGGATTCCTTACCAGCTGAGTCACCAGGAAGCCCCTAGTACTTGAAGGATTTCCTCAAATGAAATCCGTTACTTGCTTTCTCTTAGTGTTTCTGATTATGTTCCCCCACTGGTTCCTTCTCAGTCCACAAACATGTTGAAGGCTCTGTGCTAAAGTTGGAAGGAAAGAATTTTTCAAAAAATTAATATGTTCTGTGTGCCAAAGTTAAACACAAACATGGCATATTTAAGTCTTCATGGCATTAACGGCGTTCCTGATGTCTGATTAAGAGGTGAGAGAAACCCAAGGCCTAGAAGGATTGTCCCCAAATCCATAGCTTAGGGACCCAGACCCTCTCAGGGTCCATATTCTTTCTCTATCATGTAACACACTTTAAGCTACTGTTGACGAATAAACAAGTGTCCTTTGCTGTCTCTTTCCCGTGATCTGCTTCCCATCTCTTTCTCCTTCCCTTGCTGCCAAACTTGATTCAGTTGCTCATACGGTACCCTCTTCTCACATCCCTAGAGTAGAATCTGCTATCTCTGTAATTCACTAGTTCATCAGCGTCATGTGAGCCCCTGCTGTAACATAGATGGTGAACTGGGCACCATGAACTGATGCTTGCCTGAGAGAAGCTTTGCAGGCTAGTAGGTTGAAACAGGTAAGTAGTGCAGTGCAGTGCACCAGTGCCTGGTGATTAACCCCACTGGTTGCTTTTTAGCCCATATCTTCCTTGAGCTCTCCTGCACCATTTTTTCCAAAGGACAAGCATCTCTTAAGGAAATTCTCTCTTTTCTTTTCGTTTTAGACTTGCCTTAACTCCTGGTTTTCTTCTCTTTTTTTCTCAGAATTCCTTTTGCATTTCTCTTCTTTTGCTTCACATGCTCTCATTTTAAAGGTCTCTCCAGCTGCTTACTAGATCTTTCCACTTAGATGTTGTCCAGACACTCAGGATTGCCCTTTCTTTCCTCAAGAAAATTTTATTCAGTTAGTTGCTCATATTAAAAATCTTGAAGTCATCATCAGTTTCGTGTCTTCCTCTCACAAAATGACTCAGTAATTCTGCTTCAAGAATAGCATTAGAATTTGATCAAGTTGCCAGCCCCTCTGCCATTAGTTAGCATAGTCCAGTAACTTCTTTTTCCTTTCCTGTCTTAGTGCATCCTCGATGCTTTAACTCTAGCAATCTTTTTTTTTTTTAAGAAAGAAAATTGTCATGGTGTTATCACTTTATTCGTAGATATTTTAATGTCTTTCCCTGCTGCCTATCAGATCAAGCCTCACTTTCATAGCCTGGCTCCCAAAGCTGTTCACCATTTACTCCTGGTCAGCTTTTCTGGTCTTCTCTCCTGTTTAGCTACACAGAGAAGGCACTCACTTGATAAGTGGGTGCTACTTAAAAACATGACCTTTTCTTTCCAGGACAATATTAAATTCCCATTCTGTTAAGTACAGTGTCTGCTAAGTTTACTTCTCGGTTAGTTTCTGTCATTTAAAAATTATAATGGCATAAAGATTAACAGTCTGTAGGGTACTTTCAAAATTCTCTCTTAAAATTTCTTTAACCCAGTGTATGAACTGAATTGTGTTCTCCCAACATTCATATGTTGAAGGCCTAACCTCTCGTATCTCAGAATGTGTTTGGGACATAGGGTCTTTAAAATAATCAAAGGTAAAATGAGGTCATTAGGGTGCTTCCTTTTAATGTGGTGACTGGTGTCCTTTCAAGGGAAGAATATTTGGACACAGACACGTACAGAGAGGAGAACGCGTCACGGGGATAAGATGGCCCTCTACAGATCAACCCTGCTTGGTCTCAGATTGGCCATCTTGGTCTCAGATTCCTAGCCTCCAGAACTGTGAGAAGATACACTTCTGTGGTTTAAGCCATCTAGGTAGTGTTACTCTGCTATGACAGCCTTATCAGACTAGTACACCCAGTGACTTAAAACTCAGGTTTTAAGACTTGTACCCAGGCAGTTTATCCTTAGGAGAAGGGTGGACTAAGGCTCTGATAGAGCCTCTCCTCCCCCTCAGTCTTCTTGGCGGTATTTTTATGTTTGTCCTAGAAAAAGAGGGCCATCCTTACTTTTTTTCAAATTAGGTAACTATGATCAACTAACAACTCAAAGAATGGCTTTTTTCTTTCCTCATTTGGGATTCTCTATCTCTTTATCTTGAGGATACAAACAATGCAAGAAACCATTAAAAAATAGAATTAATCCCTGTTTATTCCATTGATTTAAACAGATAACGAGTTAATATTTTCCAGGCTCTCAGTCTGAGAGCTGGAATACAGTAAGTTCTCTTTGCAGTGGATAGCCATGCCAACTCCAGCATCAAGTTTCCAGAGAAGGTATTTGCTGCAGTGAAACTGTGTGCTTTACTGCAGTTCTCTAGAGGTTCTGGCTGCAGGGGAAGAAAGCACTCTGAATCGCTAAATTTGATGTATTCAGGTTTTCCTAGTCACACTTCAAATTGCTGCATTGTCCACTCCAAAATGCCTCCATCCCCTGCCCCCACACTTTTCTACCGAGCTCCTCAGCAGTCGTTGTATTTGATCTGGGGAGATTAAGTATGTTGAGTGGGTTAGAGACTTTGTTGGAAACTGCATTTACTGATATCTGCTCAGATTAGCTCTTTTCTGATCATGGAAGATAAAATAATAATTTCATACTAACCAAAGACCTTGAGAAGACCTTCACATGTATGCTTTTATTTTATAAATCCAGAAAGGGAGCCCCTTGTTCTTTTCTAAGAACTCATCATTTATTTTCTGTGTCTGCTCTGTGCCCTCTTCTTGCCACAACCTTGAACTTGTCTCATCTTGTTCTCTCCAGTGTAGGGATGGAGACTAGCTAGTCACTGGGTAGAAGTGCTCTTATTTTTTTGATATTAGTCATTATTCAATTGATTGTCTTTGTACCTTGTTTCCAAACTGAGCTTTATTGTTTAGCCTTAGAGGACTTACTTTAAATGTTTAATTACATATGACTTGTCACTAAAGCCTTGCCATGTTTTTCACACCTCTCTGATGATGGATCCAGCACTGGTTGAGCTTCATCAGTACAATGAGAAGACAGTCAGTTCCTATACTCTTGTACTTTACATATAGATTTAGATATTTTGATTTCATACTTAATTTTCATTTTTGATTTGTCTAATGCATGGCATGCATAGCAATTAAGCAATTGAAGAGTATCTAATTCTTTTGTCCATGGCAGAAGATAATCAAAGCAGAGGACTTACAGATAATCTTTCGACTTTGAGTGGTAAAATATGATGCTTTCAACATTTTTGCATGTTTGAAAATTTTATAATAAAATATTGGGAAGGGGGGAGAATAAAGATTGAGAGGTTAGCCTTGAACAGAATAGGGGCACTTACTCCTGGTGACTGCAGATGGTGGAAGTTCAAGGTTAAAGTCTCCACTCATTTTGTGAAGGAGTCAGTCTCACCTGCCGGGGCCAAGGACCAGAGAAGAGGAGTGCTGGAGAGAGTGCAGGACAGACTCGAGAGGAAGGAGAGGGGACCGCACAGACCTAAAAAAGAAGGCGCCGTCATGCGCGAGTTCCGGTGAAGGTGGAGGACACAGTTGCGCAGTAGTTGTCTGGATATGGCAAGTCAGCAGGGCAATGAAGGGATAGTGTAAGAAGCCAAAGGGTAGATGGGGTAAATGAGTTTCTCTGCTCTTCACTAGCAATCTGTGTCTGAAACAGGGCCCTGTCTCCCTGGTTCTCTGTTGAAGGAAATTCTGTTTTCTACCTCTGTATTTTTATTTGAGTAAAATGAGAGAAAAATACTGTTACAAGACTGTGTCATTGTTAACATTTAACTACAGTAATTTTATCATCCTCCTCAGGTAAAAGAAGAACGTTCAGAGAAAATACCTGATCTAAAATTATTAGTGGAGAAGAAGTTTTTGGCTTTACAGAATAAGAATTCCGATGCAGACTTTCAAAATAACGAAAAATTTGTCCAATTTAAACAACAGCTGAAAGAACTAAAGAAGCAATGTAAGTCAGCATGCTTTGCTTTGGTTTGGCTTTTTTAAATTAGGGAACTGACTGGATGAACAGTCCGAGAAAACTGATTTTTATAGAGTTTGCTTATCTGCTTGGCTTGATCTTCTTTCTAAATCGCTTTTTTATTGTTGTTGCAATTCTGTATTTTGTCTAACTTTTGGTTCAGATCAGCCTGTCCATTTCTGAAAGCCAACGGTTTCCACAAAGTGCTAGGAAAATTCCCCAGCAGGTAGAGAAAGTTACACTGTTATTGTCCCACTGCTGGGGAAGAATTTGGGAAAATAAAACTAAAAGCTATTTTATTAAAATAGCAAAGGCATTTTTCAAATTTTAAACTGCTGTGCCAAGCTTTAAAATAACTGTATCTTGATTCTAGTTTTGCTATTTTAGAGTAGTAGGAGCACTGTTTTCTCAAATATGAGACCAAAATTCTCTTGAGCTCTTCTATCTTGGTGGTTGTATAAATTCTGTGATTTTCATTTTTTTTTTCTTTTTTGCCTTCCTAGGAAACTTTATTATACTCAGGTTTTTAATGCACATAATTTTAATGAAAATGAGAGTAGAAAAATTATTAGTTATACCCCAAAAATCTTGAAGACAGTATTGGCAGAAATATATGTTTTTTATACAGTGAAGTACATGTCATTTTTTCCCTCCCTTTTTCCCCATATAATCCACATACCAATTTTATGTAATTTTAGTTTTTACACTAGCATCAGTTGTTGTTCTTTAGGTTTGAGGCTCTTTTATTCCTTAGAGAATTGAAGCAAGTAATTTTTTTCTTAAACTTTGGTTTCATATCACTTTCATTTGCATATACATGGGACAGGAATGCATGATATAAGATAAATTTACTTCATGTTCATATTTGTATTTAGCAGAAGGATTCCTATTTTTAAATAGGCCTTCTTTTAAATATAAGCATTTTCTTTAAATTGATGCTGAGATCTCAAAAAATAACTGAGGAAGCAGCTTTACTTTTGTCTATTTTACAAATAACTTAAGTTTCACAATTTGGAATGTTTTGCAATCGCGATGAGACTTTTGCTTTTACTGTAAATTTAAATAGTAAGCATTTTTCTCCACATTTCAAATCTGTGTGTATTGTTGTTGTTGTTCTTCATTGAACAGCACAGCTACCGAATCTCTCTAAATTAATTTGTACTGTTTCCCCAGATGGATAACAATTCTCCAAATAGGTAATAATTTGTTAATGCCTTTCTGGTCTAGATGCTAGTGAATTGAAGTTTTTGCTCTGGTCAAAAGAACCAAATGTATTTTATTTTTCTTCTTGGAGACAATAATCACAAATTATGGCAGATTTAGCATCTGATCATAATTCTTGATTTTTTTTAAGATATATTTTATAATACAGATTAAAGGACAAATATTCAAAAACAGAAATTTCTTCCCACTTTGTTATTGTTTACAAAGCTATTATTCTATAAGAGAAAACTATAAAGATCTTTAGAATCATATACTCATGTGGAAGTGCCTTCTAATAGTGTGTATTCAACAGAATTATAATTACTATAATTATAATATCATTTCTTTAATTCTCTCTAAAATGAAGAATGAGGGAGAGGTTTCCCCAGGCCAGCAGTATACATCATTTGTCTGGACAGTTAAACCTTACTACAGAGTAAATTTATATTTAAGAAAACTTCCCCCCCCCCCAAAAAAAAATGTCCTTATATAGGGTTTCCTTACATATGGTAACACTAGAATTAAGAGAACTTTCCTTTTATGTCTCCTAAAGTAATCTTTTAAAAAGTTTTAAAATATCAAATGGTAGAACAAGCAAAATATTAATACTCTTTTAAGATACTCTGTAAGATGTATATACTTTACTTGCAAAAATGTGATTTTTAGTGCAGTATTATTAGGGCTATCAATTAAACTGGTGCCATGCTTCCTGGATTTCATTTCTTTAGATATAACGCTAGTGAGGATGCTGGTTAGCACCAGGCTTGTACAGTTTTGTGGAGCCAAGTCAAAGAGACTATGATTTATAAAGAAGCTGGTGAATCTGTTTATTTTGAGAGCTGTTCTGAAGGCAAGAAATTACAATAGTAATTTTGTGGGTTGTTTTTTTTTTAAGATTGGAAAAGACAAGCCAGAAAGAGAGATTTGAATCTAGTTACCTATTTTGACAAAGGCTAAAGTATTTTTATGGTCTGCACATAGTAAAACAGTTCTTTCAATGAAAATAACCCCACATTTTCACCAACTTTATTATACAAGAACGTAAATTGCATGGAATTACATTTTACCAAATAAGGATTTAATGAAAGAAGTAAAGGAAGCTCTTAGGTGGGGGGAAATCGAGAAGGAGACTGAAATCACGTCTGTCTGGTGCCCTGACCTGAGGAGCTGCCCTCGTTTCTCAAGGCGACTCTGCCTACAGCAGTTAAACCTGCTGCAGCTCAGCAGCTGCTTCTCAAAGTGGCTGGTCTCAGGAATCCCTCACATTCTTAAATTTACTGAGGGCCAGGGACTTCCCTGGTGGCCCAGTGGTGAAGCCTGTGCTTCCAGTGCGGAGGATTGAGGTTCCATCCCTGGTTGGTTAGGGAACTAAGATCCTGCGTGCCATGGGGTGTGGCCAGTTTATATATGTGTGTGTGTGTGTGTATAAACAGCATATTTTTTAAAATTATTTTTTATTTAGGGCCCCCAGACAGCTTTTTTTCTTTTCATGGGTTGTAGCTTTTGGCATCTAAATAGAAATCAAAACTGAGGAACTTAAAAAATATTAATCCACTTAAAAAATCAATCATAAGTCCACTGTATGTTAATATAAAGAACATTATGACATATAACTAGGTATTTTCCAAACAAAGAAAAATTATTGGGAAGAGTGGCATTATTTTACATTTTTGCAAATCTTTTCAATTTCTGGCTTAATAGAATGCAGCTGGGTCTTCATATTTGCTTATGCATTTGATCTGTTGTGCATTGTTTTGATTGATGATTGAATTTTTTTAAGTGTTTTGGTTGAACCAAAGAAAGTCCAGCTTCACACATAGGTAGTTGGACTTGCTGAAAGGATCTTGTAGACCACCTGAAATTCTCACTTTGAAAACCACAGATTTAGGCCAGGGGTCAGTACGTATGGTCCCATTGGCCAAATCCAGCCTACACCCTGTTTCTCTGTGACCTGCAAGTTAAGATTTTTTTTTTTAATTGTTGGGGGGAAAAAAGTCAGGTGAAGAATAATACGTGATGTGAAAATTAAATAATTCAGATTTTTATTAGAATCTAGACACATTCATTCATTTACATATTGTCTATAGGTGCTTTACCTCATAATGGCAGAGTTTAGTGGTTGCATCAGAGACCATCTGACCCACAAAACTTGTTTTTACCATCTCTTTCCTGAGAACATTTATGACTCTTTTCTAAATGGTAATTAGAAATAAGGGAAGGTATTTTTGTTGTTAACTTTAGATTTTTTTCTGTTGCTGCTGCTAAGTCGCTTCAGTCGTGTCAAACTCTGTGTGACCCCAAAAACGGCAGCCCACCAGCTCCTCTGTCCCTGGGATTCTCCAGGCAAGAATACTGGAGGGAGTTGCCATTTCCTTCTCCAAAGCATGCCTGCATGCTAAATCGCTTCAGTCGTGTCCGACTCTGTGTGACCCCATGGACAGCAGCAGCCCACCAAGCTCCTCTGTCCATGGGATTCTCTAGGCAAGAGCACTGGAGTGGGTTGCCATTTCCTTCTCCAAGATTTTTTCCTAAGTACCATGCATTTGTCACCTTGTGTGCCTGCTGTATATGAATCTTTGCAGCTGGTGCTCTGAGATCAAAATAAGGCAGATTTCCAGGACCTGGAAAAGATAATATATACAATTCTGGTAGAGCCATGAAAGCAAATATCCAAGCAAAAGCAAAGACAAAATGTCAAAAACAGGTATTATACAAGTGGGCCTTAATGGAGAGAACAGGAATGCAGATTTTATCTGTGTTGGTTGATAGGGGTTGCCTGGAACTATGTGTTCAAAATGCTTTGGAGGCTGGGTTCAGGCCTAGCAAGAAAGAGTGTGCTGAAGGATTGTGGGAAAAGAAGAGAGACAGTGCAGATATCTGGTATTTACCATCTCTAGAATGTAACAGCAGCAGATGAATTACACTCATTTGAGGATAGGCTTACTCTAAAGGTCACATACTTCAGTTGTACACAATAAAGTTTTTTAGTAGTTATTTGTGTCTTGCAGTATTGCCTGGCATTCGATCCATCTTCTTTGGGCAAATTGTTTTATGTGTGGGTACCCAGTGTCCTAAGTATTAGAGAAACTATGCCTGCCTCAACTTCCTAGGATTATTACCAAGGTTAAATGAGATAGTAGATCTTTGCAAACTCTGAAAGTTTGCTTTACATTTAAGTTATTATTGAGAAAGAGCTAGTAAAGCATCGTGGTAAGAATGTGAGTTTAGCAGCCAGAAGACCTGGATCTGAGTCAATAAATAAGTAGCCTGATCTCTGTACCAGTACCACCCATTTTTCTTAGGGCTAATTCTTAGAGTCATACAAATCAAGACTGTGATTGAAGATAATTTTTATATTTGGTGGCAGTGATGATAAATGAGCCAGCAAATAATTTTCACAGAAGAGAATTCTGTTCCCCTAAATGGTAATCATGGTCTTACTAACCCAAGTTGTAAAATAAACAATATGACTTGGTTTAGGGCAGACAGAACCAGGCCTCGTTGGATAAAATTATTTTAACTTACCTGAACAATATATTCATATTGTAATATTCTCTCTTCCTTGTCTCTTTTACTTAAACAGTTTACACTATTGCAACTCATGTTTTCCTGTGATTTTAATGTCAGGAGAACTTAATTAGACTATGCAGACATCTCTGCATAAATGGGCTTCCCTGGTAGCTTAGCTGGTAAAGAATCTGCCTGCAATGCCAGAGACCCCAGTTCAATTCCTGGGTCGGGAAGATTGCTGGAGAAGGGATCAGCTACCCACTCCAGTATTCTTG